CTAGGAAAAGAAAACAAGAAGGTTCCTTAAGTCCCCGGAGAAAAAAAACTGTGTTATTGGAGAAAATCAACATCACTAATTACAGCAACACCGCCAACGTCAACACAGATGGTCCACCTTTTCAGGATTTGTCAGAATCAGACAATTTATCAACAAATAAGCCAAAGAGAAGTAAAAGCAGCGCATTTACCGTGGTTAGAAAACCATCAGAGCAGTCAAACCCCGAGCAGACATCACGGGATGTAACGACGTCTGAAGTAGGCCTGCAATCCGACTGCAGCGCGTTCTCATTTGTTGTGCCTAAGAGTGCGCACTCAGAACAGAAGAGCGCGTTCTGTGAACCCAACAAACGCACCATCACCGAAGTTCAGAATCCTTCACCACCAGATTCGGATAATATCTCAGACTCTTTCAAATTAAAACCTGCACTAGGATACAGAAATGTATTGGCGTCGCACCTGTTTCACGCTGACTTGCCAAGCGCTCATGCAGGTGGAGTGATGTCCGCTCCTCTGGCTACAGGAGGATCCTTTTATTATTATGCGCCTGAGCATTGGACCAGAGCTATAGGTGGCCAGCTACAGTCTACTTCTTCTTTGACACTTTTGCCCCCTACTTTCACACCACGGGGTGTTTCAGTGCAGAACTGGTGCGCCAAATGCAATCTCTCATTCCGAATGACCTCCGACTTGGTGTTTCACATGCGGTCACATCATAAGAAAGAGTTCGCCACAGAGGCTCTGGTGAGGCGGAGGAGAGAGGAGAAACTCACCTGTCCCATCTGTCACGAGTACTTTCGAGAGCGTCACCACCTCTCACGTCACATGACATCACATAATTAAGGGGGAAAAAACTCTATCGCACTTTAACCAGGAACATAGAAGTTATTATTTAAAATGCATTGCCCATACATAATGCATTTATACTGTGATTTATATAACACCTTTGCGCCTACCTAGCTGACAAAAATATGTTCTAAGACCGTTTTGCTAACGTTAACATTGAGTTATGAAAACGTTATTTCTTAGGGTTCTCTGACTATTCGAAACGTTGAGTTTTTAAATGTTTGATGTTGGTTATACGACCGTTAAGGGAACATTCCATTTGATCATATTGCAAACATTATGGTAACGTTAGTTTTGAATATTCTTTGAAACAAGTTCTAAAACAAGTAGTAGACAAACGTCCAGCTAAAACGAACATTCAAGTTTTGAGAACATTACTAGCCCAAATACCAGATCACTTTGTATGAACATTATATTAACGTTACTGGTTCAGGGGAAAAAACGTTGAGAGAACCTTGCCAGAATATTTTGAGAACATTTTCTGTTAGCTTGGTAGGTTGCTATTGGACAGTATTTTTCTGTCACAATACAGAAAACTGTGAACCTTTCAACCCTTTACCTTTGGTAAAAAGTCATTATCTTTTTCTTCAAAGGTCATAGTCATTTCAGCAATGTAGGCCCTGTCCCAAATGGCACCCGAAACCCTTGCGGCCTTCCTCTGAGTCCGCACTTTCGTGACGTAATGCCGCTTTGACTGTCGGGTAGAGTCTGCTGCGGAGCTCGCCCCGGTGGACACCCTACGGTCTGTGGACTTAACAGGCACGCGCACGCGGCCACATGAAGTGTTCCATTTGGGACAGGGCCCTAGTCTTTGAAACGGTGGGCTTTGGTAGTGCAATTCAGGGTAGGACTACATCGCCACTAGGTGGCTATAGACATGCATTACTTTCTCTTTAGAGATAGCTGTACCTAGTACTACGTTTAGTTGTGACTAATACTGTTGAATTGCCTGGTCATTTTCAACTTAACAGTGCCTTACATATGTCAGGATGAGTAGCCTACATGTAAATACTCTTGAAAACCGGTAGAATAAAATGCTCCAGCATTTGTAGGTTTGCTGACTAAAACTATTATAAACTAATAACATTGCTTTGTAAAGAGATTTTATTTTTGAAATATCTATCACTTCAAAATGCCCAAATTTTTGTCACAATGTTCTTTTCAGATGTCTACTTCTTTTTAAAATTTCTATTAGCACAACGACAAGGAGGATGTTTATTTAAATTTTTTTTGCTCTGTTTTTTTTTTTTTTTTTTGGATAAATAGTCATTGTATTTCATTAAAGATATTAAGAACATATTCCCCAGGTGTTTGCCTCTGATTTTAGCCATCCAAAAAAATATGAATCACATCAAGTACCACTTTTTTTTTTAGAGAACAGTGACACTGAGATGAATCTAGTAGTTCAATGTAGTTTTGTCTAGTCAATGTAGTTATAATTTTTTAAGTATGTTTAGGAAATAAAGTGTCAGTTTGTATTTAAAATACTGACTTACAGAGATAACTTTCTTTAAAAATAATGAGGGTGACAATTTTTGCATCAGAATATGAAAATCATTTTAAGTTTTTTGAAACAGTGGTGTGACACATACACTCACATGCACTAACACTGAGTGACCGGTAGAGTGCACTCTAGCAATTCTGCAATCCCAGAATTTGCAAGTCTCCCTTTAATTATAGGCATAAAGTCATAGGTAAACTCAACACTCTGAGAAAGTTCACCAGTTTTGACCAGGTTTATATTGCAAAACTGTATCTTTCTACATCAACACAGATTTAAATAACAATTTTCTAAAAACAATTTAATAACAATTTGCTCTGCTCTGATTCTTATGGACCTTTATACTGAAATTTAATTCATAATCAACTGATCAAAACAGGTTTTGACATAACCTCGAAGTTCAAAAGGATGCCCGTCTGTATTTAGCTATAAACATTCTGCTCATTCAAGAACGTAAATACTGAACTTCTGAAGACATTAGATTGAATGAAAAGATGTGTATACACTGGCCTAATATTGGTGCAATTAGAAGCCCAGCGGTCTGTTCCTGACGGCAATCACTTGAGGAGAGAGCCATTTCATACACACACAAAATCCTGTGTTCGCTCTAAAGAGCATCTTTCATCGCTGCCATTAATTGATCAGGCCTCATTTGGAAAACTAAATATTGACTTTAGTTTTCAGTAACTGTTGAGTTTTTACATTTTGACCAAGCTTCTGGTGTCCTATAGCTACAACTGATTCAAATATTAAAGTGCTCCCCAGGAAACTAAACATTTCTTAAAGGGGACTCATCTGAGAGTTTCCCTCAGTGTTTCTGGGCAGCTTTAGTCGATGTTGGCGTTACATTCTTACATTCTTCTGTTATTTTATGGTCTCTGTGGGAGAGCAAGTGATCTACAATTTAACAAACCTAATTCATGCCGACACTGTCAAAACTAGCCTGAGAGGAAAACAGTGTTTGATTACTTTGGAGACCATTTATCATCTCATCAGTTTGGTTGCCGCCAAATTCCTAATAAATTAGTCAGTTGTTGATAACTCCACTTAAAAGTTTTACCTATCTGTGGTTTGCTGGTCTTCCAACCTGGTCAGGTGGTTTTAGAGAGGTTTGTCTGCTGGTGAGGCTTGAAGGCTAGCTGGACGACTAGTTAAAACCACTAGGCTGGTTTAAACAATTGTTATTTTCAGCAAAATAATTGTATTAATTAATAATTGTATAAATTATTTTAATACAAAACAAGTTTGTGAATGTTTTTGAATTCACATTTGTAGAGATAAAGTGTAGTGTTGTGGTAAAAGCAGCTGACACATTCACATCTCTTCAGCCTACACAAACATGTTGACATCTTCAAGGGTCTCTTTTCACGCACTGCACAGAGAAGCCATTCAACACTCAACATCACACAAAAGACAGAAACAGCAGACAGCAACTGGGTTCTGTTCTGTGAGAACACACTTCCCGTTTTCATTCACGGGCTAGTGGGATTAAAAGGGTTTACATCAAATTAGTTTGAGCTGGGTGACATTATCTGTTGAAGTAAGTGTTGGAACTTCCTGCACTTTGAGACCTGATGCTCTTGAAGTGGGTTGAAGGTGGGAGCTGGGGGTTAGAGATGTCTTTGATGTCCAGGTAAAGAAGTAATGCACCAGGCTGGTTTCTGATGTCAAATCTAGTTAACTAGACATTCTTATTCCTTTATTCATTTTCTTCATTAAGTGAAGAATATGAACACATACAATGCAGAAATATGCTGCAGAAAATAAACACAGGTGGTTTATCATTTTATTCTACTTATAAGGCTAGTTTTCATAATTTAAAACACACATTTACAAAAATACATTCTATAAAATATAATATACTGAATCCAAATGAACAACTGTTTATACACACCGACACATTTGGCCCAGATACTCCTTGCTTATGGCACCAAATTGAGATCATCAAACGCGTCTGAATACAAGAAAGGAACCTTGTGTAATGCCTCTTAAAGTAAAAATGCACAGGAAAAATTAGTCAGCACTATCCATCAGTGACCTCAGCGATTAGCAACACTCTACCTTTTGGGATCTTTTAAGTTAGTTCTGTTTCAAAACTAAGTTTAGATTACTTACTAGAAGACTGCTTTGCAGTCACACTAATAGTTTGATGTAGATGAAAGGGTTCACATGTATTTCATCATTTATACTTTTAAATGACCCAAATATCAAGTTACACTTAGATTTCTAATGAACACCAATACATTATCTTAACCTGTCACTACAACATTCATCTGAATAATAGAATAATTCCTTATTCTAATTTACTTTCCAATGGAATTCAACAGTTCTGACACAAAAGGTTTATGTTATTTCCAACATGCTATAAAACCTCATTGTACATCCAGTAATCTACAAGTATGAGTCCCACAGCCATTTATGTCACAGAGATGACAGCAAAGCTGACATTTTTTAAGGATTATTAATAAGAGTAAGTGCTCATGTTAAAATTAAAATATCACTGATAAGCATTTATAAAAGATGAAATGCAGTCCTTAAAATGTGTGCACATTCTACCAAGTGCAAACTAAAGACAATATGCCTCTTCAAGTTAAATTTGGGTGTCAAAACCACAACAAATGCCCATTTGTCTTTCTTTTCTTTGACCAGCGAGTCTATCTGCAAGTGCACGTCTCCACAGACATGTTGGGGTAGATCTTCAACACAATGTTTTTGCTCTCATCCAGAAATAGAACACTGAGGGGGTTCATCTTCTCTGGAACACAGCAGGGTTCTGGGATACCTGGAATTATCCCAACGGCCTTGACTATGCTCTGGATGGTTGCATGGTTGGAGGGGCGGACTACCTGAAAAAGGCAGAAAAGAGAGGATAACGAGGTATGGTAGGATTTAGATATGCAACTTTTGTTTTGCTTTCTTCAGTAAAAAAGAGGATATTATGTCTTAAAACACCCTTCTATTATTCAGAACAAAGGAACTGTAAAACTGGCTCATTTCAAAAGAAAATGTTTCCAAAATGTGCTTAAAACCTCTATTATGCGTACAATTATTTGACTGTAATTGCACATAAAGTTGTGTGCTTTAGTTGTGCTGGAACTGAAACATTTTCTGAAGGAATTCTTTGTTTAAAAAACCCTGGCTAGAAAAAGCTGTATTAAGCATAGTCATTTTTAAATATTTCAACATGTCTAAACAGTTCACATTCGCATACGCAGATCCATGAGGTTCTCTGACCTTTGGAATGGGGAATTCACATGTTCCTGCGCAGTAGAAGGCATCGAAAGACTTGGGAGACAAGATCCATTCATTCCACCCGATATCTGCAAAGTCTACCTTCAGGTACCTCCTGGAACAGCTGCAAGGTTCTTTCCACTGTCTCCTCCGAGCCTTCTTCATGGTTTTCTCATCAAACCGGAGAACCTGAGACTTGCCGAATCCATCAGCATGCTCCTGGCCTTTCCTCCGACGTTCTTTTTTAAAGGGCTTTGGCTTGAGTGCAAAGTAAGCGCTTTCCCACATATCGTGCTGTTTGAAGCTGTTGTACTCCACCTCCGGGAGCTCATTGTTCTCAATGGGATCAGAGAAGTCCAAGTCCAGTTCCCGCTTCACACGTATGTCAGGTGAGGAGTCCGGAGACTGAGTTGGCTGCTGGTCTGCAATGAAAGGGTCATATCTCTGTAGGCTCACAGCCACGCTGTTGGGCTCTGAAATGGCCAGGTCATTAGCATACACCAGCAAGTATGGAAGGCTGGAGGACGGGAGCTGGTCCTGATACCCTTGATACTGCTCTCCATAGTCAAACTCCACGGTGACCAAAAGATCATTCTTATCTCGGGCCTCTTTTATAATGACAGACACATCCTTGCTCTGCCAGGTCCCACGTCTGTGAGGAACTACGGTGATGTTTCCGAGTAGTGATCCCTGGGCTGAGCTAAAGGAGGGAGACCGGAAAAGAAGACAGACAGAGGGTAGCAGATGGAAGTTCGGGATGCGACAAGAGGGGTTCTTGAAGCGCTTGCAGAACCAGGACCTCTGGCGTGGCCATTTGTCAAAAAAGAAGTGAAACGTAGATGTGAGAATCACCTCAGACCCCTGAAGGGAAGTAAGATTCAGCCAGTATGAGACCCTCTCCTCCACATTATCTGCAAAGATATGAGAGCAACTGCTGAGTTAGATATTAGTTATGAATATGGGCTCAAACAACAGGCTTTTTGTTCTGTCTATGGGGTTGGAGAGAGCACAAGGAAGTGAGCAGACATATGGAAATGTTTATTTAGGTTCCCTTAAGAGGTAGAACCTGCAACAATGTCAGTCTTTTAATAGGCACTGATTAAATGCTTTAGCAGACTGCAGAAAAAAAGACTGCATTGTTTTATGCGAGTGTAACAAATGTTATTTTAATGTTCTGGTATAAACAGCTCTGTGAATGATAATGTGAAATAACTACAAGAGCCACAACAATTATAAGCCTGCTCTTGAAAACTTACAATTATCATGCACAGTGCACAGTTACGTTTGTATAGAATAGTTATATATATATATATATATATATATATATATATATAGAATAGTTCTATATATATCCAGCTAACATGCACATTCACATTCACATTTCTTTTTTTTTTTACTACAAGAGCCACAACAATTATAAGCCTGCTCTTGAAAACTCACAATTATCATGCACAGTGCACAGAGACCTTTGATTCTTCAATAGGACTGCATCACTTGCTTGCTATAGCACCTGGGAGAGACCAGTTCTGTCTCAGGCTGCTGGGTCTGGATACTGAGAATGATTCTTTAATTAACAAGCTAACTATAGAATGATGCTAATAAGCATAAGGTCTTATTTAAAGACTTGTCTCTCCAATACAAATTCTCTTAATATGTCTGTCCTGTACTTCGAAACAGCTAGTAGTCCTGTGGTCTTGTAAAACACACTGTTATTTTACTTGCCTCCTTCTTTGCCTCCCATTCACAAGCTTTATATGGGGCTTGTTGCAAAAAAAAAAAAAAAAAAACTATCATTGGAAGGGGTAAAAAAAGTGAAGAATTCTGTGAATGAGAGAAATAAAACTTTGATGCAGAAGGTTTTACTGCAAAATCTCATTATTTTATTAGTTTAAACTTTTTTATTAGTTATTAGTTAGATTTTAGTACTTTTTTTTAAAAATGACATAAAATATGAATTGGCATATTCTTCAGCATGACACACATTCATTTCGCTCTTTGTGTGAAAAGGACCGTTTGTCTGGGCCTAGACTGCCTACTGAAAAACGTTTTACCACAATGTTCTGACTGTGATTCATATAAAGGCCGCTCAATTCTCCCATGCCTTCTTGCTTGCAGTTGTTTGCTCTCTAATCAGTACACTTGACTTCATTTAATTTAATTTATTGTATTTTTTATTTATGTATTTATTTTTTTTATTTCATACCACTGATTACCATGATATATGACATTTTTAATTGCTTGTCATAAAAAAACGTATTTGATATGGGTGGCAAAAACAAATAGTGTTGCTTAACTCAATTGCCTGTACTTAAACAGTTTATGTGGTTTGCTTCATAAATGGCAGATGGGTCTTTGATTTCCTGAGGCTGTTTTTCTTTATGTTAAAATGGGGGAAGAATAAACTGCCATCTGCGGTCAAACCAGAAATAGCATTAATTTTATTCTAGTGACAAATGCTAGATCATCATTAAATTTGCATTTGTAATGGCATGGAAATTTCTTTAAGCAGATTCGTGTAGCTGAATCCTTCACTTCCCTAGGGGATCAAGTACTGTTTTTCTGTTTCTGGTATTATAAATGGATACTAAATAAAATTTAAATTAAAACAAAAAATGCTAGAAACAATTGCACTGTAAAATTAAAGTAGCACAGTGAGAATTTTCTTAACATTGATCATTATTATTTGACATAAAAGCTCTTAACTTTGCAACTTTTTATGTATATTTGTAGTAAAAAGGAAGTGGCTGCTGATCAGGGGCAGACTTAACCAATAAGCGAGGTAAGCCACCACTTAGGGTCCCGGGAATCAGGGGGCCCCATCTGATACATGCAAAACATATTTGGCAAACGCTCCAGTGTGTATTTGTGTTCTGGAGAGTGTCAAATTTTCACTCACCGCTTAAGACGCTTTGTTTTTGTCAAGTGCTGAGTTCTGCAAGCTTGCGAATCCTCTCATTATAACAACGTGTAGATACGATGTAAATAATAGATTCATTGTGCAGTGCACACAGCTTCACTGATTAACGGAAAGTCGTGAGATTGCGATGAAATCAAGTGAATGGGAGCTTTTAGTGATTATAGAGGGAGTGCTCTTTGCGCACTTTCTAGGCTGTATAATCCTGTCTGACTGTCTCAGAACAGATATATTAACCTCAGAGAAGAAAGTATTATGTTTCATATCATAATTTTATTTGTCTTGATGTTTCAAAATGACTCGCTTGTGTGCTTTTCCTATGCGCACCTGCACGAACTGCTGCACACTCATACAAATTCACGAATGCGATGTAGCGAATCAGCTCATGGGGAAATATGAATAATTAACCATAACTAGTTATAATTAACTATTCATATATTAGATCCGCTGTAGATATTTAGCTGACCACTCAGGGTCAACTGTCTTGTCAATTCTAAGAACGTTAATTTCCTGGTTAAGGGAAATAACTTTCTTACTGTACAATTCTTTAAGCTTGTAACGTAAATCTGCATGATTATTGACTCCGGTTATGAGCAAACAATGAACACGTCAAGTGTGATACAAGTAAGGTTTTATTAACTACATAAACACTTAAACTAGTCTAACATACTACATAAACACATTAAGCTGGTCTAACATACACATACACACACACACACATACAGTTGGTATAGGAAAGAGTTAAAGTTTAACTCAGCATAGGAAGAGGCATAAAGAATGAATTTTATGGAACACTTTGCATGTTCAGCAGATCTAAAACCTGAGGGAAAACGTCAAATTCTTAGTTCAAACAAACCTTGTAAAAAGGTGTAACTGATACTTAATGTATCAAATTAATAAGACTAAGTTTGATACTTAGCGAGACTCGGCGGTCTGAAAGAGATTCCTGATGCAAATCTTAAAGCTTCCCGTAGATCTTGCTGAAATATAACAAAAAGTTGTGTGTCTGATTGGTCCAAATGCTACAGCGATGACTGGAGATTTTTGCTTAATAATAGATTCTATTTTCAATTTCTTTCATGGCAAACCCTACCATATGCCTTAAGAACACTTGGAATGCGGAACAAGTTGCATGGGCTAAAAATTAAATGTTATTTGAATCCTTTTTGTAAAAAGATTGAAGAAGGTTACAACTCATTAAATGGACAATTACAAGCATTTAAAAAAAATAAAATAATGTCTTCTTTAGTGATCCGAAAAAAATAAGCCTACTATGGCTTTAGAACAGCATCAGGTTGACTAATTATTTAATTAAGTTGTGAAGAGGTAAATAAACTATAAACTGTAGAGCAAGCAAAATAAGGTTTAGGCGTAAAAGAGCATGCTTAGTTATTGTGTTGGGGCCCCATACCTGAAATTTGTTTAGGGCCCCCAAATCATTAAGTTCGCCCCTGCTGCTGATATTAGAAGGTCCTTTGGCACCAGGACCAGAGCCGATCCTCCCTATAAGCAAAATACGCAAGCTGCGTAGGGCCCCCGAAACACCAGGGGGGCCCCTTGCTCTCAAAGATGATAAAATTTTTGTTTCGTTTTTGAATTTGGCCAGCGGTTATGAAAACATGAATGATCATTTATTTTAATGTGTTATGCTGTCACTCTTTCCACGTAAAAAATCATGTAATGTGAATGTCTTACAGTCTTGCTCGAGAAAAAAAAAACAAGTTGAAAGCGTACCGAGCCGCGGAAGAGTTTCTCAAACGCTTTACGCGAGCACGATTCGAGACGGAGTGAAACACGGACAAATTTCATTCATTCGTTCATAACCACTCATAACCCCCCCACACACACACACTGGCACAGTTTTGCGTAAGGCCCCCAGAAGCCTAGGATCGGCTCTGACCAGGACAAATACATTTTAATCATCCATCTGTCAGCATCAGGATTTCTGAAAGGCAGAATGCAAGTAGTTGCCTGCTCTCTGTGTTTTCTCTTTCCCGTTTGTATTGGCTATGTGTTTCATAGCTCAAGTGAAATACAATTATCCCTGCAGTGCTTTAAGTGATCAATCAAGACTCAAAATTCTGGTGCTCTTGGACCTGCACAATATCAACGTGCCAGTCTTGCCAAATGGACCTAATGGCATAGAGCATTCTCTTCTGGCTTCATTTACTTCCAGTATACTTACACATAATTGAGTAAAAATGTTTTAAAAGCGCTGTTTGTTAGACTCAGACTCAGTCTTGAAGGGCAAAGCACTGGATGTATTACTCTGAAACAATTTTAAGTAAATCTTTGTAAAGGATAATTGGAAAGTATAACATTTTTGTTAACAATTCTCAGAATTTCTGACTTATGAGTCATAAAAGTTTAGTTTTATTATTGCAGGTAAATTCATATTTGCAAGGTGAAGTGCTAAGATTCACACCAGATAGATAGACAGATAGATAACTAACAAATTTTAATGTGCTATTTCATTTTCACAAATTCTCAAAATTCTCAATTTTGCCACTAAAAAATAGAGTAGTATAAAATTTAATTTCACGCCAACCAAATCATTTTACTTGGTTATTAAAATCACTGAGCCTAGTGAGTTTTGTGGGTAGATTTGTGTATATGTATGCCTTAAAGGCATAATATGTAAGATTTTTTTATTAAAATATCCAAAAACCACTAGAACAGTGTCATACTGTATATTTTGCTGACTTGTGTACTTACATTATCCCAAATGTTTCGAAGAATGTTTAAATCCAGAGAAATAAGCAATTTTAACTAGTGACACGGACTGTGTTCATAGTGTCATTGTGTCGCCTGCCAATGACGTCATACACCCTTGATCTCCGGTTTTGATTTGTAGAAAACATGGAAACACCAAAGACACTTTAATATGTTGTGCGTTTTAATAGACCCGTGATGACCGCACAGCGTAGCATTATAACAGAATTTTCAAATGTATCTGATAAAACAGCGCTGCTTTCCCCCCCCCACATATGTACGGTAGGGATGGGTGTATCGATCCAAAGTATCGATATATCGATACTGACGCGAGTATCGAAAGTATCGATACTCAAACAAAAAATATCGATACTAAGGTGTGTTTTATTTACCAGTGATTTTGTTAATTTAACAAAAATATAATGCGTACAATATGCATCGAATTGGACGAATAACCTTTGTTAGCGAGTAATTGTGTAGGATAGAAATATTTCCCTGCTCATCTGAACACACGCAAATGTTGCAAGACAGAACCAATCAATCACAGAGAGCATTCACTCACTGCTGACAGTGCATTCAAACAGGGCTGCTTTTCCCAAAAGTATCATAAGAAAGCATTAAAGCTTTTGGTAACGGCAGCCCTGAACAATGCTTATCAGAGGACAGAAGGACAGAGTTATTTCACAATAAACAAACTGAAATTGTAGCCTACATAGTTTGTGCAATTACAGTTATTTAAATTGAACGTTGAAATATATAAGGCATATTGAATGTTAAAATGCATTTTAAACAAAGTTAAGTGCTTATTATTACCCATTTTACTCTTAGTAATTTAATAATTTAATACATTTCATCATTTAAAAGTTTAGTGCAGAAGTATCGAATCGGTATCGATATCGACGATACTGCCTTGAAAAATATCGGTATCGTATCGAAAACAAAATAAGTGGTATCGCCCATCCCTAATGTACGACCAGAAGCAGTCGACTGTGGCATAATAAAAGCTCCGCTGCTTTTCGAGACATGTGTCACGTTCGTTCAGCTGCCTCGTTTTGCTTCGACGGCTTTCAGCCTCACCCTGCTTCATTCTACTACATTAATAAATCATTGGCTCATCCATGAACATGATTTCTGCCCGAGTCCCGTCGGATTGCATCGGCTGTGGGGATAAAGACCACAACTCCCACGATTCCACCTTCCGTCACAGCGTCATCAAACTATGCCTTTGTTTATTTTGAATACGCGCCCTCTAGCGGCGACAATTACATATTGTGCCTTTAATAACATGCAATATGTAATTTTTGTTATTAAACATCCCAATCTATTTATTTGTCTCACTATTTGCTAAACCATATACAGAGCGTCTTTGTGTAGCACAGAAGGCATTATACAAACTGGATCCAAAAAAGGAATATGATGAATAGAACAGAATAAACTGATCTGAATCTGTCCATGGTCCTGGTACGCATCCTGTACACATGGCAGATTCCCTCCTGTCTGTCCAGTTCTGGATGGTGGCCCAGCATTAAGGCATGAGCTCACTTGGCTTTGGGAAGAGATGCAGTGCTTCCATTGTTCTGGTCCAGAAGCAATAAAACTCCCTCATGCTGTCCTGTTTGCAAAAGCCCACTGCTGTCGCTTTACGGCTAACATAATTTCACCCCTGACAGCTGTGATCAGTTTGGCTTTGATTTTTAACTCTCTGTCAATCAAAATTAGCTATCCTTCAATACTGACTCCTCCTCTCTCCATGCAGAGTCCTGTCTAGAACAAGCACGGCTTTGTCTGTGCTCCATGTCTTCATGAAAACAGCCACATGCTGAGTTGCTTCACACGAGTGCCACATGTCACCTTTGAGCCCATTGTCCCTGTGCTACTGTGACGAGCTGCATTTCTATCATATGATTCAGTTGTGATCTGAAGACAAGCCATTATCTAGCCTGTTTATGAGGTGTAAAATGGATTTTGGACATGAAAATAAAGCCCACTCACATGATTCATATTAAGATCTCTATTATAGAATTGACAACCAAAATTGCTTTAAGACAAGTCCATTCTCTCAACAACCAGATTTATAACACCCCGTCAGCTATTTCCGGTAGTGCAAGTACATCTATGATTCAGCAAAAATAATATCTGACAACAATGGTAAAACGAAGTCTCAAATCAAACAAAAAACTTTTTTCAGCCTGGTCCAGCTAACAACTAAGCACATGTTCCTGTACAATTGGCTCTTTTACCTGTAAAGCCAGACTTTAAATTTCCTTTTAACTTAATTTTAAGGCTTTTTTAACTTCCTATAGACACTACAATAAGTATCATGACAACGATATAAGGCAATTGGTTCTTTTAACTTTAAAGTGAGACTACAGTCACCATGCATATTTAGTGCTAAGATTTCTCCCATTCATGTAAGAGGCTTGACTCTTCTCTCAACAACTGCCATGCTGAAGCATATGAATGGGTTTCAAAGATTTGTACTTCTGAAGTTATTCTTAAATGTACACTTTTGAAAAATATTGCTGTACATTATTACAGTTAACATTCTATGAAATGGTTCAGATTATACAAATGTTCGAAAGGAACATACTGTAGACATTTATCTTCAGATCACTGCGCTACAGATATTACTTAAATTGTTTCTTGCTTACCTTAATCTGCATCCAAACAAAACACTGAATTGGAAGTTTTAGAATGACTTGATTTCTTGGAGTGACTGTTTCCAAAAGTGCTTTACCAACTGCCAAATATACGTCATCGCTGTTTTACTCTCCTATTCATCTTTCCACATGTTTTTTTATGTCACTTTTATCATCTTTTTTAATGGAGAGTGTATGAAGTTCGACCATTGTATGCGTATGTAAAAGAGTGAGTCCAAATAGATTGCTAAAATATTTCAGTCATAATGATATTTGATACAGCCTTTTAAAAGAAAGCTCATCCATTTCACAGTATTTCTTGAGACACATAATGAGAAAAGCTAAGTGCAATTAGAGATTTACTTTACTAGCCGATCAGAGCATATAAATATGGCATAAACCATAGCTGACATATACATGTTTTAAAAGCTCCAAGGAAAAAAATGCTTTAATACTGAATTTGAGACTACTAAAATGCCATTGTAGACAAAAAAAATCTGTTGATACTTGTTAAAAGAATTATCACATTTTGTTATGTCAAGCTGATGTATTGGATGTTATGAAGCCATTATTTATACTTAGTGCCTTCTCTATGCATTTCTCATGTTTATCTAATTCAATTTAGCATAATGAACAAAGTTTCACATTACATCATACTGTACTGTACATGCCAACAAACCAATCCCAAATCCAGCCTTTGCAATACTCAATTTCAAAACAATCACAAACCTTCAGACACAATATACCGCAACAGACATCTGCTTGTCCCCACACAGAGCATCCAAATGTACTAAGAAGCCTGACCTCGAGTGTCTAGACACATTCAGCACGTTTCTTTACCTGTATTCATTTCTGTTGGGCTTTTTGAAACACTTGCCAATAAAAATATACAGACTAGCAGGGTTACAGAGCCAGGGGAGAAAGGGTAATGCTACCTTCAGATTCATTGAGTTTGTAAAATATAGTCTGTAGCAGGAAGAGTGAGCCAGAGCAGCAGATAAATCTAATTAATACTATCTTGGGGATAAATGCAAGACTCTGGATCATTTTACCAGCCCTGCTGTTTATTATTTATGTCTGCATAAAAGTTTATTTTATTTTTATTGTATATATGATTCTGAGTCCCAGGATCAGTGAAACCACATTTTTAATGTTTTAAACACTATGTAGTTGATGGCTCTAACAGAGAGAGAACATGATGTGGCCATTAAAAGCCTCCTCAAATGTAGGGGTCTTAATGTTACATGAATGATATCACTCAGACTCTTTAATGTTCTGATGGCCCCTACACAGGGAAAATAACTGGGAAAATGCAGTTTGTTTGCAATAAGAAAGTAAACAAAGGCTCTTGGGAATGGGATGCTGTCAGCCATCATTCTTAGGAACTGAAGGCAGAGGTGAGCCAGAGGCCACAATACACTCAAACAGTTGCACACTGATCAAACACTCAATGATAATCCAAGCAATTTCTACAGAATGCAATTGAGCATGAAATATGGGGTTATTCGGTTAGATTGCAAAATGTAATGGTGAAAATTGGATGTAAAGTACACCTGATATTCCCACATAGGAAGGGAATTTAGTGATGATTTTTGGAATTCATAAAAGAAAAGAAAAGAAAATAAATTATGTTTTATTAGCAAAGTTTGGGAGGAGCACGTTCAGATAATTGACTAATTCAGCACAGGTGGACCACGTTCAGATAATCAACTTAATTAGCATGATAGCAAATATATATACAGCCATCTTACCTCTGTCCCACGATAGTTTTTCTGGCATCCCTCCTTTACCTCAACTCCTCACTCCTAACTATTCTTATCCCAGCTTGGGGATATGTGTTATATCCACCCTCACACCTGTTGCTCCCTCCCAACACAAGAGGGAGCTATCTCCTGAATACTGACGTCTGTCTCTGTCCTCACCTGTTTCGCCACGTCATCAGTATGTGTATTTATAAACCTAGCTTGCCATAGGTCCCTTGCGAAGTCTTGTTCATTGTTCTCGTTAACTATTCTGTGTCGTTTCTGTCTGTTTACCACTGTTGTGTTTGGACTAGTCTTCTTGGATCTGCTTGCCTGTTTGTTTTAGAACTCAACTTGTTTTCGAACTTGCTTTGGCCTGCCCCATTAAAGTCCTCTGCGCATAGATCCTATCGAGACTCCCGAGTCTTCATTGTCACAATATGGGGAGTTCTCTGGGCTATATTCCGGGCACAGAGCCCTCCCCTCAGACAGCATGCCAAATATGCTTACTATTTGCTCAGTATGATTATATGTAAGTGCGAACTTGTGAAAATAAAATAAAATAGCTGTAGTTTCTGACCAGTAAAACAAATTCTGTTCCTCAGACACATACATTTAATTTGATGCAGATTCACTTGCCCAAAACTACGTTAGACAAAATAATTGATAACTAATGTGTATTAAGTTCAGCTCATTAATTAATATTAGTTTTGTTTGAGTGGAAATGTTGGATGAAAACATCCATTAACATTTTCCTTGGAACTATTGCCACAGTTTTCCACTTGAACGCTGACAAAAGAGGCAAATATTATTCCAAAATATTCTATTATTGAAAAAAATACTCATCAGCAATTCCCGGCATTAAGGATTTTCCTTGTCAGTGCAAGTTACAAAAATAAAAAATTAAGGTTTATGTGAACGGACATTACAAAATTATTTGTCTTTGAAAGAATCTTAAGAAATCTTTAAAACCAAATAAATATTGTTGGTGGTAAAAATATTATTCCATGAAAACCATCCATGAAAGACAGCATGAAGCCAAAGAACTGTATTTAAAAACCATTAAAGTTGGGTTACAAATACAAAAGGTTTATTCTCCTCATTATTTTCTATATATTTTTTAATCCTTGTCAAGCCATTGTTAAATCAAAACAGTAAAGAATTTATTTTGATTGTAATTTCTTCCTAGCAGCCACCCACAGTGGTTTAAGACTTTGCCATGAAGGTGAAGGTCACGGGCCTCTGGGACTTGTTCAGGAAATGACAGCATGCCACTTAGACTTTAATGAATATAACTCTGTCTTTGTAAATACAACACCAAGTCTGTAGGTTTAGAAGGTTCTCCTTCTTGAAAACCAATTTTAGAGTGTAGATTTGAGGGAAACTGCTCTGCAGTGAGCCATTTTCACACGACAGAAAGTGGCTCATGAAAAGATGAGGCTCCCTTCGAAATATGAAGAGAATTTGATGAGAAGTCCTTTCCGTTCTCATTGTTGGGGAATGTAAGCCTCGCAGACAATGAGAGATGACTATGGTATCCAGAAAAAAAAACGAAAAAAAAAAACTAGCCATCATAGTGATTCATGGCAAACATTGACAGCTACATAAAGTGTCTATTGTGAGATGAAAAGGGAAGGCAAGTGCCTGTGGCTCAGGAAAGTGAATAGACATAAATTCAACAAGAATACTCTATAATTTGTTTTGCTGAACAGCCTCTTGTGCCAAGTGGATTACTTTAGCACACTCCAGAATGACTCTTTCATTAAGAAATGATTGTGTGAACCATTTCAAAGTGGTCTCGAAGGAATAATGCACAGACAGAGCAATTCATATTTCATAGGCCTCTTTGGACTTTACTGACAGAGGTGAAGCATAATTAAAGTGAAGCATTGCAGTGCCGTAACCCAATTAAAAACCAAATAACAACAAAGAGATCTGCTGAATATTTTTCCAACACACAAGCCAGGCAATTTGGGCAAATCAGGTCGTTGTGAGAGCAATTGAACTTAATAATCACTCAGTCTTTCCCTCTACTTTAACACAAGAGGCCACTTTTCTCCACACACAAAAAAGAGAAAATCCCTTGACCACCTGCATGAACTATAGCACCATTGCGGTACAAGACGAATTTGTAGAGGAAAAAGAGTGAAAATTCATGCAAAAAAGTATTTATTGAGACCAATTCTGTGGTGGAAGAAAAATATTTTATTAGCTTTGCAGAAAGCAGTCAGTAGTGTTGGTCTAGTCCACGATGATACAGAGAGAAACAGCAGGCCTTTGTCTGCAGACAGAATGGCGCTCTCTATGGGGTCACTGCAGGATTCCAAACATCACAGACGGGGCAAAACTATACACTGGAATTCCTCTCCCTCTATGAATGTTTTATTAGCCATGTGAACAGGTCAGAAAGTCACCCCCCGCCATACAATCATCAGCTGTGGCACAGGGGCACGTCCGATCCCAGC